CACTTCTCGGCTGCCCACACCGTGGAAGGTTGTTTCTTGAGGAACCTGAAAAGGAAGGTACAGTAGTGTTGGTCTTGGAGACCTGAGTGCGTGACCACAGAGTCCAAGGGACAACTGCTTGAGGCCGGTCACACACGGCCTTTTGATGAAAGGTTTTTTGAGTATTAGCTCCGCTCTTTTTATAAACACTTAGTGGGCACCCTCACCGACGGAGACGGAAATCCGTGAGGTAGGGTGAGGTGTGACATTTTTAGGGTCGACCTTTTCTAACCCTTCCTTCCTTGTGAGAAGGCAGCATCGCTGCAGATGCTAGTTGTCCGAGGGAAACACCTTACTGCTGTCACACCCCTCCATCACAGTCAGCAGTACGACTTCACCTTCAGAAATTGAGTAACTGCTGTTGGGATAGTCAATCGAGAAGAAAGCCACGCATATTGTGGATTGATGAACTATTTGATTAATGTCCATAATAAACTATGAACTATATGATTAATGTTCATGATAAACTATTTCATTAATGATGAACTATATGATTATTGTTCATGATGAACTATTTGATTCACGTTCAAAATATTTAACGACATTTATATAATTGTATAAATACGCATGTTTGATTGTACATTTTTGATTCTGACAATAAGCGTTCTCCAACGTCTTCCGTCTTCTTATTTTTGAACGGAGGGGTCTAACGTTCGGTGTGTCATTAGTACAGTGGTTTGGCGTTACATCAAGTACAAAACATAAAAGTGGCTACGGGGCTTACAACTCACAATGTCAATTACCCTTGAACAGATAGAATCTTTACTGGAACGTCAAGGAAAACGATATGAACAGTTCCAGGAACGTATGTTGGAGTTGTTTATGAAACAAATGAATTTGAATCACAGAGGTCCTACCGACGACTCATATAATCCACATACAGACTCGATAGTTAATTCCATTCATGAATTTCATTTTGATGGCCTTGCTGGTGTGACTTTCGAGTCTTGGTTCAAGAAGTATGAGGATTTGTTCAAGGTCGACCTCAACAATCTTGATGACGCCACCAAAGTCAGAATCCTCTTGAGAAAGCTCGGCACAATCGAACACGAACGTTATAGTAATTTCATCCTCCCAAAGAACCCACGAGATTTCTCTTTTGATGCTACAATTGAAACGCTGTCGCAAATCTTCTCTGAACAGTCATCTCTCTTTATTATTCGTTATCAATGCCTCAAAATAACCAAGTCAAATGAAGATGACTGGGTAAAGCACGCCAGCTTAGTAAATCGTGAAAGCGAACGATTTAAACTATCATCAATGACGGAAGATCAGTTCAAGTGCCTTGTGTTTGTGTGCAGCTTACAATCTCCCGAAGATGCTGATATAAGAACCAGAATCCTAAGTAAAATTGAGCAGTGCCCAAACATCTCGCTTCAAGAAATAACTGCAGAGTGCCAGAGATTGGTAAATTTGAAGCATGATACCTCCATGGTCGAAAACAATGGCCTGCTATCATACGTGCATGCCGTTAGTGAAAAGAAAAATTCCGTCTCGCAAAAGCACCACAAGAGCACAGACAACCAGCCCTCATCTCCATGCTGGTCATGTGGAGGTTGGCACTACAAGAAGTTTTGTCCATACAAAGATTATGTTTGCACTAAATGTCACAAAAAGGGTCACAAAGAAACCCGATGTAGGACAAAAACTCGCAGACATTACTCCGCGAAAGTCGATTCCAAGAAATACAGTTCTGGTAAGCCAATAAACCGAGTATTGGTGTCTCATAACCAGACAGGAATTCACCACAGAAGAAAGTATGTGACTTTGGCGTTACATCAAGTAGAAAACATAAAAAACACAATTTAAATGTAGCTACAGATTACAAATTGACAAAGTTGGAAAAGCGTTGTACGCTTTAGGTATCTATTTATCAATTAGACTATTGATTACGCTACAACTGGATCATTTAAATTTAATCAGCGTTAATGAACTAAAAAGAAATATAGCTGGTTACATACACAACACAGTGATTAGTCAGTTGTACATATCTCAATCCTACAAGCAATCAGCTGCTGATGACTGAATTGTACATATCACTGCCTATGTATCGCGATTTCTGAGAGATTATTGATTCTGTTAAGTTTACAGCCTAACTATAACATGATCTAGGAGAATAGATAATAAGTTAAATCATGGACCGGAAGTTCACATGAAATAGGTGTATGCGTACTCAGCATTTGGTCACGTGATTTATGTAGAGACTTGGAAAACTATCCAGCTTTTCGATAATAAATAGGTGAGAAATGTAAGAACTTACAACCTACTGGGTGGAACATGATTACTTTTATCAATGAAATCCACTGTAAATTTCAAAGTTGAACATGGCTTCACTAACTTTAGTTTAAACATATGAATTATGACGGTTTGAATTTTCTTATATAAACTCGTACTTGGCACGGTAAAAATGACATTCAGTCAGCTACAACATAGAAATTCGTATGTACATACATCAATTCAACATTAACACACACAGAGATAGAATTATCAATACAAATCCAATAGTAGTAGAGGTAGTAGAAGTATTGGCGGTAATCAAAGATATCATTCGAAAAGTATGTTGTAGAGGAATCAATTTAAAAAAAGAGAGAGTCAGTGATTGAGGGAACAAAACGGTCATGAGGAATTGAGAAGATTAGAATTTGATAGAATCAAAAGAATGGACTTATTTGCGTGATTGCAGACGATTTTCAGCCATGTCATTTAGGGTCTCTAACCATCAGTTACGACTCTCGCGCGGACCTCAACCAGGTAGCCTACACCTACACACTTTTCAGGATGATTCAGTCCACCTGTAAGTGACCTCATTGATTTGTGCCATGTTCCGATTGAACGGACACTAGCTTTCTTCTAGCATTCCCCTACGACAGGAATCTTCACTCGCCAAGACAGTCGCTGGTTGAGCGTACGTAATAAATGTCCCAAACTCGTCAACTGATGAAGTTTTTCGACTTGTCATCCCTACTCAGTAAACTTTTCCTAAAAACAGCATTATTTACCCTGCAGTCCCAAAATATACAAGCAATGCTTCGGAGACAACTGTAATGGAATTGGCAGGATACTGACAATTTTTATACAAATAAACTTTACTTAAGCGTCAGTGTTTTGTGTGTCATCGATAATTTTGAAAATCTTTAGGGACCAGGGAAAAAGGTTGAAAATACTTCGACCGATAATTGTCCTGTAGAGAAATTCAAGAAGATAATATTCATACTTTTGCTACACTGAGCGAACAGTTGAGAATTTTGTTCGATATTGTTTTCAAAACCTAGAAACTTTGAGTTACTCAGGTACCCTCAGTTTTTGTACATAAGATTGTATTCTGATCAAGTTTATTCTAGCTTCCCGAATTTTTCTTTCTTGATTGAAGATCAAGTGTAAAAGGTATTTTGAAGCTAAGAACATACTAGGAAAGCGGTATCTAAACGTTAAAGGACATAACCTGTCATGACAAGAAATTAGTATATAAAACTAATGTAATATTATAAGCCGTAAATTTATTTTCCACGTTTGTCTACTGAAATAGTATTTAAGTAGCAAGAAATTTGTAGCATCAAAACTTCCTAATTTCAAAGTAATTCAAATTATTAAAAATTATTGTTGATTAACTGATTCGTTGGTTTTTCTTAGACTTACTTATCTAATGCATATTTTTATTCCCGATACTTGACTTGAATGTATATGTAATAAGTAATCTCTACTGCTTACTAGAATCCGTTAACTAAAAGATAAATGCATTAACTTATGTACTAACATGGAGGTACATTCATCCATCTGTCAAGTGTACCAAATACAAATTTCAAAACTTGTATTGCCTCCACATATATTCCAGTTCGCTTACATCTAACTTGGTTAAGCCATTTTTGTGGCCACAATTTATATGTACCATTCGTTCTTATTACTGTCTGGTTTGTATGAACTCACATGACGTGCCCACATGTCATTTGAACTTGTCAACTACTCATCGCTTTTATTCACGTGTGCCTATTTCGCTTGTCACATGTCTGTCTTATATATTTGTCTGACTATATATTCTTAGTCATGCTCTATCTCTTGGAGTTGGCTCATTAGCCTTCTCCGATGCTCTTCACCTGTCCATTCACTTCCTTCGCCCGTTCGTTCGCATTGTAATCCTTGGAATTGGCTCAACAGCCTTCTCCAATTCACGTCACTTCATTCTCTTTATTCACTGCTTCTCCACTTCGCTTTGTGGTGTGTGTCCCAAATAAACATATTCGACAACACTACGAGTTCACCTTCTGATTTATAAACCGTCAGACGCTAGTTAGTAACGATTGTCTGAACGAGTTAATTACCGAGCTTAAGAACACTCAGTAAATCGACACCAACAAATGGTGAGCCCACCATCGAAATGGGCCACTACAAACTAACCACAAAATAGAAAACGCATTACAAAATGTATACATCTCTATGCAATTCGTACATAGTATATAACATATACCAAAGATGGATGATTATTTAACAACAATGGTAATAGAACTTTGTTTTTTGAATTTAATATTCAAGAATATATGTTTTCGTGAATTACAGAAATAATAATAATAATAATAATAATCAAAATCACAAAATATTGAAAATTGAAATGATCAACATGATCAACAATTGACAACGATCGAAGGTATAGGACAGACGAATGAAGGAAAACCCAAAGGTAAAATCGATTGAAAATAAAGGAAGAGGGAAATCTTTCAAAATATATATGTATATTTATATATGATTTGAGTAACCGGTAATCATGATAGTTATGTCATATACATATCAAAAAAAGTATTTTCATAATCTTTTATTTTAAAAATTGAACAAAACTACTACAAATAATAATAATAATAATAATTTCATCTGTTATTATATGATAATAATAGTTTCATTTTGTATATTTTAAAAAATAATTTTTATTGATTTATTAATGAATTAAAAATGCTCAATAATATTGATTTTATCTAATGACTTTTTAATTTATATAAATTATAAAATTCACCTTGTTTAGCGAGTAATTCATTCAATGTTCCATATTCTATGATTCGTCCATTTGATAAAACAATTATGTAATCAACATTTTCAATTGTATTTAAACGATGCGCTACAATCAGAGCTGTACGTGTAGTGCTGGTGCTGGTGCTGATCATTGCATCATTGAGAGATTTTTGTACAAGACGTTGATTTTCATTATCCAACGCTGATGTTGCTTCATCAAGTAATAGAAGTGATGGTTTACGTAGTAGAGCACGGGCTATAGCTATGCGTTGTTTTTGACCACCGGATAAATGTGAACCATTTTCACCGGCTAATGTTTCATATGCCTTTTTTTGAGGAGGAGGAGGAGGAGAGGAAAAAAAAGTAAAAGTTAGAACATAACACTGAAAGTTATTTGTGGGATAGAACAAACCAGATCAGATTCAAGTAGAGAAAGAAATGAGGGAATTAGCGCTGGAGGTGGTGGATAAGATACACATTGTGTGAGGAAAGCGCCCAACTACATTAGAAGGGAAGACCTAACTTAGAATCTTCAAGATCAAAGAACCTGTCTACGCCGGGAATTGATCAGCCAGTCAGATGCAACGTAGAACTTCGTACGTAAGTGTACATCATTTCATGTTGCCATACCACATCAGCACAGAGATATAATTGTCAATTCAAATCCAATAGTAGAAGAGGTAGTAAAGGTATTAGAAGTAATCGGAGAGGTTAGGATTAGAAGATAGTATTCAAGAAGTATGTGATTCAGTGAGATAACTTTAGAATGTCGAAACTAGAGGGGTTGAAGAATCCAGAAGATTAGGATCTAAGAGAGAACACAAAGACTGAATGCACCTGCACCATTGCAAACGGTTTTCTAGCCATGCCATTCAAGGTCTCTAACCATCGATTATTATCATCTCGTGGACCCCAACCAGGTAGCCTACATCTACCAACATGACTCAGTCCTCTTGTCAGTGACTTCATGGATTTTTGCCATGCTTTGGTCTGGCCGCCCCTAGCTTTCTTCCAACTTATTCCTACACTAAAAAACAAAGCTCGTCGAGGCAGTCGCCGGGAATCGGGGACAGACATGAGAAAAACGCACAAAGTAGGTTGAAGAATGCTGGTTGGCGGTCTACGCTCCATTCAGGGTAACAGGCGCAAGTAAGTAAGTAAGTACCGACAGCAATAGTAATGATAATATTAGTGAATAAACTTGATAAGAATCATGTTCGAATCGATATACTCTAGTAGTTTGCAATTTGATAGACTGAGTGAGACTACACAGATGAATTTCTCATTTGAAAAACCAAAGAGCTCATATGTTGTCTTAAGTTTGAGAGGTAAATAAAGATTTATTGAAAGTAAAGTGAGTTATGCAGCTATTCACGATTTTACACTATATATTATCTAGTCTGAGAATATAAATATATACTTATTAAAGTTCAAAACCATGAATTGATCGAAGTTAGATATCGGCGTTCGCGCACAAGATCGAAGGTCGTGGGTTCGATTCCTAGGATGTGAAAATGGTCATGAGGATCCCTAACCAAACAGTTCATAGTCTCAAATCTTAAATATTTAAGATAACCTTGTACATGTATGAATGCAATTTATCAACAATAATCAAAGGACGAGTCTACTGCACAGCAGTTAGCTCCGTCCTAATATTTAGGTGTAAAACATGCCCAGTTAACGGACACAATATTTGTAGGCAGTTAGTATTCAATCGAAGGTGTCTTCGAAATATTGCTCGTATATCCTAGTGTGGTGCGAGCTACTTATAAGTAATATATGACGTGAGTGTCAACGTAATGTCCGGCAGCAGAAGATGGGAGAAGATCAAGAAAGGAAGAGTTAGAACACAATGGAATTTGTATGAAACGCATGAATAGTGACAATGGATTGATGTTTTACAACAGGAACAGTCCAGTTCGATATAATGAACTGTTATTTTGCAAATGAACGATTTACGATATGGTTTTCCAATTTTACTGAGTAACTCTGTAATGCTAGTGTTAAGAAAAGGGAACTAGGTACGAATGGCAGATCAATAGATGATGCAGTTAATTTTGATCTGTTGAGATGGTTGGGATATGTGCTAAGTATGTTCAACCACCGACTGCCTGAGAGGATGATGTTTTGTCAAGTAGGGGTAGGCAGGAAGAAAGCTTAGGGAGGCCAGACCAAAACATGGCAGAAATCCATGAAGTCACTAACTAGTGGACTGAGTCATGTTTGTAAATGTAGACTACCTGGTTGGGGTCCACAGGACACTAGTAACCTATGGTTAGAGATCCTTCTCTGAAATTCTAACCTGAATTCCTCATGACCATCATCGTTCTCGTCTCAAATCTATTTCACTGGATTATATTTCCTAAATAATATCTTCTAACCCTAATCTTTTCCACTACCCTTAATACTTCTACTGTAGTGAACGAGAACACAGGTGGGGCAACCGAATTGTATATAACGGAAATTACAGAGTTACTCAGTAAAATTGGAAAACCATATCGTAAATCGTTAATTTGCAAAATATCAGTTCATCATATTGAACTGGGCTGTTCCTGTTGCAAAACATCAATCCATTGTCACTATTCATGCGTTTCGAAACTTCATTAGTTGAGGTGATTGGGATATGTGTTGCGTATGCCTAACCACCGACTGCCTCGTCGAGCTTTGTTTTGTAGTGTAGGGGGGACGGCCAGACCAAAACATGGCAGAAATCCATTGAGTCACTGACAAGTGGACGTAGCCATGTCGGTAGTTGTCAACTACTTGGTTAGGGTCCGCGAGATGATAATAATCGATGGTTAGGTACCCTGAATGACATGGCTCAAAACCATTTGCAATGGCGCCGGTGCATTTATTCTTTGTGTTCTCTCAAATCCTAATCTTCTGGTTCTTCAACACCTCTAGTTTTGACTTTCTAAACTATCTCGACTGATCCTACTGTCGTGAATACATATCTTCTAATCCTAAGGCCTCGTCCGACTCCTACTCCTAATACCTGTTTACTATCTCTTCTACCATTGGATGTGAATTGACAATTACATCTCTGTGCTGATGTGGTATGGCGACATGAACTGATGTACTTACGTACGAAGTTCTTATCGTTGCCAACTGACTGACTGATTCATGCGTTTCATACAAATTCCATTGTGTTTCTTATAAACTCTTCCTTTCTTGATCTTCCTCCATCTTCTGCTGCCAGACATTACGTTGACACTCACGTCATATACTACTTATAAGTAGCTCGCACCACAGCACCACACTTCTACTACCTTTACCACAATAGGATTTGAAGTGACAATTCCCCATCTCTGTGTGTGTTAATGTGATATGACAGCCTGAACTAATGTATGTACATACGATGTTCTACATTGTAGCTGATTGACTGACTGACTGACTGACTTACTTAATATCATTGAAAAGAATCATCCAAACTAAAAACTTACTTACACTAGGTAATGACACTATAAAATCATGGATATTAGCTAATTTAGCGGCTTCAATAATTTCATTCCATTGTTACAGGCGCGACTATGATCACCATAGGCAATATTATCACGTAAACTAATATTGAATAATATTGGTTCTTGACTAACTACACCAATTTGTTGTCGAATCCAACATGGTGCCAATTGACGTAAATTAATACCATCAAAAAATATACCATTTTGTAAATTATAACTATCATTATTAATTGGATCATAGAAACGTTGTAATAATTGAATTAGTGTAGATTTACCACAACCTGATTGACCGACTAATGCAATTTTACTGCCTGGTTGAATGGAATATGTAATATTCTAGGGGAAAAAAATAATAAAATGTTTTGTGAATAAATAGTTTAGTCGCATGAACACTACTTACTTACTTACTTACGCCTGTTACCCCCAATGGAGCATAGGCCGCTCACCAGTTTTCTCCAACCAACTCTGTCCTGGGCTTCCCTCTCCAGTTCTGTCCAATGTTTGTTCATTCTTCTCATATCTTTCTCTATTTCTCGGCGTAATGTGTTCCTTGGCTCTTCACTTTTCCTTTTGTCTTCAGGGTTCCACGTGAGGGCTTGCCTTGTGACGCAGTTAGGTGCTTTTCGCAGTGTGTGTCCTATCCACTTCCACCGCTTCTTCCTGATTTCCTCATCCACTGGAATATGGTTCGTTTTCTCCCACAGTTCGTTGTTGCTGATGGTGTTTGGTCAACGAATCCGAAGTATTTTGCGTAGACAACTGTTCATAAATACTTGTATCCTCTGGATGATGGCTTTGGTAGTTCTCCATGTTTCCGCTCCATATAGTAGAACTGTCTTGACATTTGTATTGAAAATCCTGATTTTGGTTTTGGTTGAAAGTTGTTTGGAGTTCCAGATATTTTTCAACTGTAGAAATGCAGCCCAATCCGTGCCCTCATATCTGCATCGGATCCACCTTGCATGAACACTAACATGTTATATATTAGACTGGAAAACATTATAACACACAGTCATCCAATCTGTAAACATCAATGTCGCACAACTAGTCAATTATCACTAGATATGGAAGAAATTCTGTCAGGCTATGGTTGGATGGCATTAGCCTTCGGGTTCTTAAGAGCTTATGGAGCCAGCATCGCATAGTCTAGGAGCCACATCGAAACAGTAAGCAAAATAATGCTTTGATTAACTTTACTGTGAACAATTCTAAACTTCAGTAAGACACACTACATACGTTAACAGTGGCCTAGACAAAAATAAATAATCAAATTAAAGGTGTACACAATGATAGATTTAAGGTCAATAACAACCAATCAAGATCGAGGCTAACAGGAACGTGGAGAAATTCGAATATTTCACTTCTGTGTTACTGATGTTGTTCATAAGAACAACGAAACCTTGTCACATGCAGTTGGATCACTCGCCTTGCTTCTACACTTTGTATTATCACGTCTGTCTGCATGAATGATTGCTTGGAAAAAAAGCTGAATACACGTTTAGCTTCTGTTACGCATGCACGTAAACAAGTCAGTTCGATATACTTGAACTATACTTGAACAAGTTTAATTTAGTCGGAAAACGAGAGCGAGGATCGAGGATACGGTGACTCTTATCCGAGTGTCCCAACCCCCCTCGCCATTGAGTAAAAGAAGAAGACTTGATATGAAATAGAACATGTATTCTACAAACATCCAGAAAGTACGAGGTTCGAGTCTAGAAGAGGATGAGGATCTCGGACTAAAGATCCGCATTCGGGTCCGGGTCATAAAACGTTACAGATAATACGTCGAATAGGAATCAACATTGAAGTCTGTGACATTGATAGTCAGGACAACCAGTGGGAAACAACATTGAAGTCTGTGACATTGATAGCTAGGACGACCATAATATTGACCGGTAGGAATCGACCAATAGAATTGGACTTACAAAAATAATTCTCTTAGAATATTCTTATTACCTCCGTCGCACAAAAAGGGGTTAGCTTAGGTATGTATGATAAACGGGAATTGAAGGGAAAATTCATTCCATAGCATATTCGATCGTTCGTCTAAGCTGGAGTTAGATCGCAGGCACACTAAAATGCTATGTGTACACAATTTGGTAAGGAAACTAGGTCTTCTCTAAATGTATATATATGTATGTATATATATGTACGTGTATACACTCTGTTTTTTCCTTTAAACTACTTACATGTAAAACTTTTGTTTCCGGTCTTGTTGGATAACGAAAATTGACTTTTTTAAATTCAATTAGACCATTAAATGCTTTCTTTGGTTTATCTCCTTGATTGGTATCGATCAATGGTTTACGATCGATCACAGTGAATATATGCTTCATCGCTTGTTCAGCTTCTTTAGTTTTGGCAGTGAATGCAGTGATTCGACCAAGTGCTTGTGAACACATACTAAATGTGATATAAACTCTAAGAAAAGAAAAGGAAAATAAATATTCAACACGAAAGAGTAAATTGATCAATCAAAAATGAATTGGGAAAAATAAACTATGTCACTGAATGATCTGCAGGTTAGTTATCACCTGCGGGGTTCTAAAGATTGTTGAGTTTCATTGAAACGATGAATCGATCAATGTTAGAGAATCATTAGTTACCTAGAGGCACTGAATTGTCCACTTGTTCTAGTATGGGACTCATCAACACTAGACCGTCGGTCTCGTGCCCAAACGTTTAACATCAAAACTACTGATCTGACTGGCGTCTAGCAGTGTTAATACATAACTTCGACCAGTCCTGGATTCGATTCCTGCGAACGGACTTCATGGATGCCCAAAGCTAATGAGTCCCATACTAGGACGAAATGGTTATCGGGGGATTCCAGGTTTCTAATGGTGGCCTAACAATGACTCATTCATGGTTTCAATTATGAAAACAGCAGGCATAACAGCAACGATCTTCGATTTCTTTGTTATCGCCATAACCAACTAGATAGGAAAGAGTAATACCAATCATAGATTTCATAAAGCCTTTTCCTTTTGGGTAACATAACTAACTAGTTGATCTGTATTTCCTGAATCACTTGTTCCTTGAGATTCTATCATGACAAGCAGGTCTGTGGATGAGACTTCATGTGACATAAACATACATTTCGTGAAATCATCAATCAATCAATGTTAGACCACCATTAGAAACCTGGAAGCACTGAAAGACGGTCGTTTCGTCCTGATATGGGACTCATCAGTGTCAGTGCGCATCCACTACTCATGCTGCGCCTCGCAGGATTCGAACCCGGGACCTCCGGTATTTTGTGCGGATGCGGATGGATCACTGGGCCGGCATCCGAAGGTGTTAATGTTTAACTCTGATTGATCTACGGATTTTGCGCGACCCCACCCATTCGTCTTCAATAGTTACTGCCTACACCCGACAGGGCTGAACTCCACTGGTCACGTCTTCTCACATTTTACGACATTTTCAACTAGATTTATGGAGATTAGCGTTTTTATACATTTGAAATCACCAATCAATCATTGGTACACCACCATTAGAAACCTGGAAGCAGTGGACGGGAGTTCTGAGTTCGAATCCTGCGAGGTGCAGGAGTAGTGGATACGCACTAACACTAATGAGTCCCATACCAGGACCCGTCCAGTGCTTCCAGGTTTCTAACGGTGGTCTAACAATGATTGATTGATGATTTCAAATGTGTAAAAATGCTAATCTCCATAACTCTAATTGAAAATTCTCACTAGAACTCAGGGAAACTTCCTCATGGAGCTAATTACTAGTGAGCACATGTGAATTTTCATTCTAGAGTTCTGAAGGGTGTTGAGTTACTCTAAAGTCATGAATAAATCATTGTTACACCATCATCAAAAACCTAGAGGCAAGGGATAGCCGTTTTGTCCTAGTATCGGACAAAATCATCAGTGTGCATCCACGACTCTTGCTACTCATAGGAATCGGCCGTCTGGTGCATCTAGATTTCTAATATCGGTCTAGCATTAAACGATTTAAGATTTTTAAGTAACTTAATAATCTTCACAATCTTATAATGAAAACCGGTATTCTTTTTCTTCCATCTTTTGATTCTCTTAGTTTTAATTTCACACCTCTGTGTGTGTGTAAGTGTGATAGTCTGTACTGATATGAATGAGAACCAGTTGGATCGATAAATATTTCCATGAATTCCAATGCAATTGGAGCGCCTATTTCTCCCCCAGTCAAAAATGCAAACGAAACATACATACATTAATCACTTTCATGACTAGGCTTAAATTTTACAATAATATACTTTAAGATAAATCGTAAAGTTTTTTTGTTTTTCCAGAGACAATTGATCTCATTCGTTTTATACATACATAATTGGTCCATTACAATTAACTTTATT